AACCATTCTATGATTCTATGATTCTAACAGAGGGAGAGGTAGAATTGCTTGATGTCACACACAGTGAGGTCTCATCCGACCTCCCTCTGCTTGTCCATACCAATCTCCTGTGGTTTAGCCCCCAAAAAACTTTTAGTCACTTTTTCTCTGCCTACATTGTCCTCTACTCCTTTATTATACATATAAATTCATTTAGGAAAGGGTTAACTTTTTATGTTTTCTCTTGAACATGAAACGAAAGGACCCTTAGCAGTCTCCCGAACTCCCACCTTCTGAAAGAAGGACAAATATTCCCCACAAAGGCTTAAGTACATGAACTGCAACATTATTGATTCAAACATTTTTACCTGCTCTATATTCAGTTTAGCACAGTACTCGCTTCTAAGAACCAAAATCCAGAAACTTACTGACCTATGTCTTCCATTCATTTCCAGTCCCACCACAGGGCATATAAAGCGTGCAGACTGGATGTCATCATATTTGTCACCTTTTATACTCTCTTTATCACCACTCCAAGCTGGATTATCTGCAAGGTTTAGTTCTGTTACATTCTGAAAAATAAAAATGCAAGTCTTAGGCTGTTTACTAATGATTTCTGAGTCATGATAACATTCCCCAAGATTTTTTTCATTGTGGTTTGCTATTTTTAACACTTTTAGTATATAGTGAGAACACAAACAAATTGAGGTTTTGTAGCATGTTTTAACTTTCATGGCACTTTTTAAGATTAGACACAACCTGTTTACCTTAATGCTCTTGATATGTGATGCAGCTTCCATAGGAGTTTTATCAGCTGACTTGTCCAACAAAAATTCGATGATGGCATCTTTATTATACAACCTATAACATAAAATTTTTTAGTAGTCATATTTGATTTTCATAACATTCTTTTATTTATAAATTAGTACCTTTTAATACAGCGGTCTTTATCGAAACATTCATACCTGCCTAGCTCACAGGCTACAATTGGCCGACATAACTTCTCTTGACTCAGAGCACAGTAGTACCATCTTGCTACCAATTCAGCATTTTTGTCAACCTGAAGAAAAAAAAACCTCATGATTTTAAAATAGCTTTTATATTTACAAATTATTTAAACATAAAATCAAGTAATACTTGAAGCATTAATCAAATCCCCCGGTATCTTACCAAACCTACTTTCTGCATTCAAATCTATTCCCTAAAATTACTTTAGCAAAACCCATTAGCAAAACCTTTTAGCAAAATTCATGACCAGTTTTGAGGGTCTGCCTCTATCTATTGAACACGTCCCCTTCCCTCTTTTTGCCTCTTTGCTCTTCACATGTTTTCCACTACCCTCTTCTCTCTAGTTCTACATCTCACCCGTGCTTGGCTTAGCTACCAGTTCCGCTCCCTGTAAGGAACAAGATAACAAGAAAAACAAATCTGGGGATGTCAGGATGCTACCTGAAGCTCTAGTCTAAAAACATGAATTTTATGACACATTAGGCCATAAGAGAAAGGTTGAGCTTCAAAGCTACTCTGACAGTCAGGTGTGGGGAGGAAATGGATTTTATTTACTTATTTTACATCAGAAAGTGTAATTTGCCTGTTTTCTGCCACTTGCTGTGAGATTTTTCCCGCTCTTCATCCAACTATCCACACCTGTGATGCCACTGTACATCCATTACCCTAAAACACCCTAAAAAGAGAGCCCAAGCAACAATCAGAATGCAAGCAGATAGAATGCTGAAATGGCCACACTCAATACCAGCAATGCTCTGGTCACACTATTAAGCAATCCACCAAAAGCGTTGCCAGCAGATACTGTACCCCTAGACGAAGGAGGCCCCTAAACCCCACGCGCTGAGCAGAATGTCCAAAAAGCCCTCCAGAAGACGAAGGGAACTCCTGTAGCTGCCACTAGCGCCGCAGATACAGTCCCCCTGCCACTAGCGCCGCAGATACAGTCACCCTGAGGCGGTACCCGCAGACCGGCCCAGTGCCACGCAGAAGGGCGCTCTCCCCCACGCTGCAGCACCAGGAGGGCCATGCCCGGCTCACTGCGGGACGGGCAGCACTAACCAGGCCTCCCTGGGGCCTCTCTCCCCCCGGGCCGCGGGCCCATGCTCAAGGCCCAGGCTCACAAGGCCGGTCTGACAGCCCCCGGCCGCGCTCCCCGCCGCCCTCACGCAGCCTCCTCCAACCTTCTCGATTTTGCGGGGCCCCTTGACCAGCTCGTGCCGCTTGGGGATGGTGCCGCCATCGCACCCCATCTCGCTCCGCGCAGCGCTACGCTTCCGGGTCCGCTTCCCCCACGG